CGAGGTGAGGCAGGGGGGTTTAACGCTGGAGGGGGTGCGGGTGTGTTGTGAGTGCACAACCCGTGCTGGGGGGGCAGGAGTGGGGCAGGGGGTGCATGGATGTGGGGTGTGCACACATGCAGAGCTGCACATGCACGTGGGGAGCACGGGCGCTGGGTGTGCAGGCGGGGTGTGCGTGTGCCTGGGATGTGCACATGTGCCCGGCGTGCAGCGCTGCACACGCATGTGGGGCGTAGCACTGTGCACACGCATGGGGTGTGCATGTGCCTGGGATGTGCACACGTGCTGGGCGTGCAGCACTGTGCACACGCATGGGGTGTGCATGTGCCTGGGATGTGCACACGTGCTGGGCGTGCAGCACTGTGCACACGCATGGGGTGTGCATGTGCCTGGGATGTGCACACGTGCTGGGCGTGCAGCACTGTGCACACGCATGGGGTGTGCATGTGCCTGGGATGTGCACACGTGCTGGGCGTGCAGCACTGTGCACACGCATGGGGTGTGCATGTGCCTGGGATGTGCACACGTGCTGGGCGTGCAGCACTGTGCACACGCATGGGGTGTGCATGTGCCTGGGATGTGCACACGTGCTGGGCGTGCAGCACTGTGCACACGCATGGGGTGTGCATGTGCCTGGGATGTGCACACGTGCTGGGCGTGCAGCACTGTGCACACGCATGGGGTGTGCATGTGCCTGGGATGTGCACACGTGCTGGGCGTGCAGCACTGTGCACACGCATGGGGTGTGCATGTGCCTGGGATGTGCACACGTGCTGGGCGTGCAGCACTGTGCACACACATGGGGTGTGCATGTGCCTGGGATGTGCACGTGTGCTGGGCGTGCAGTGCTGTGCACACATGTGGAGCGTGCATGTACCCAGGGTGCACACGTGCTGGGCGAGCAGCGCTGTGCACACACATGGGGCGTGCATGTGCCTGGGATGCGCACGTGTGCTGGCATGCAGTGCCGTGCACACATGCGGGGTGTGCATGTACCTGTGGTGTGCACACGTGCTAGGCGTGCAGCACTGCGTGTGGGGCATGCATGTACCTGTGGTGTGCATACATGCTAGGTGTGCAGTGCTGTGCACACGTGTGGGGCGTGCACGTGCCTAGGATGTGCACACGTACTAGGCGTGCAGCGCTGCGCACGCGTGGGGCATGCACGTGCCTGGCATGTGCACACGTGCTGGGTGGGCAGCGCGGCGCGCGGGGGGGGCGTGCAG